CGCCATTAACTCTGACACAGCACCTGCTATCAGAATACAGTGATTGGATGGCCCTTAGCAACTGGCCATCTATCGCGAATGCTCGAAGGCATGACCACAGACTGTTGCGTTGCATCCGGTAATAGGTTTTTCTAGGTGAAACAAAACAAATGTACACCGGAGGAGCCTACTCTCACGATTTTTCAACAATCTCACGCTGGGCAAATACGTCGTCAGAAGAGCTTCGACCGAGCAGGACGCCACACTGCTCTTCTATTTTAATGTCAGTTATTCTGGGGCTCTTCTTTTTTAGCACCTTTGCGTGTACTTCACCTTGAAAGCTCAATAACGTAATGCCCCTATGATTGAAGCACTCCTTGTAGTCTTCATGAGTAGGGTTAGGGGTACAACAATTACCGTTCTCTAGTCCACTGGTGTCTTACCCATAGTCATTGCAGTTTGACATTTACGTGTAAGCCAGCGCATGCCTTCTTCGTTTCATACCTTGAGCATTTCGGGGCGGATTTCATCAATTCCAGCAGCATTTTTATTTTTTTAAGCTTTTCATATACAGAGGTTGTAATACCCCTTGCTGCTCTACAGGCGACTGTTGCTGCGGTTGCTTGAGGTTAAGGAGTTCCTAAAAGTACTCCTTCCATGGCTGAAGAATGTCCGCATCCTTGGTAAGAGTGCGTCCAGAGCTGCTCTTCGAGACTGCCGTTCTGTTCACTTCGCAGCCGGCGAGTGATCTGCCAGAATACCTTGTTTGCCGTGTGAAAATTTGACTCCAGCACCTAACCGAACTTCTCCCAGAATCAGCTTTGGTTCTGGTGCCGTACTGCGTGCGTCGACATATTGGATATAGAACATTCTTTGTTTCCAAGCCATTTCTTGAACGCTGCTTTCTTCTCTTTAACTGCCAGCTGTACCTTTCGTGTCCACTATGAAGATCTTTTCTGACCTCCAGGCGACAGGCCAACCCATTTATATCCGCAGCATTCGGCGGCAGCCTCGAGTATGCCGCTTTTAAAGAGCTGCCACTCGGTTTCAACATCATTTGTCATCACCGGGATCTGTTCAAGCCTTCGTGCGATGTTCTTTGCAAACTTCGCTCTCGTGTCCAGCGAAAAAGATGTTTGCCATTTGATTCTCCGGTTGCTTCTGCCACCAGGTCTTCGTATGGTTCTCCCCATTTCC